TCTAATGTTCATTATGGTGAAATTGTTTTTATATTATTTTTATTAACTATTTTATCATATAATAGTTATTTCTAAAAGTAATTAAACATTATTCACACTAAATGGTATATTAAAGTTACATAGTCATCAATATTTTTGTATTTCACATTTTTTTTTCGAGCTACACATTTTTTTTTTCAAGCTATTTGTTCTAAATTAATTGTTTTTTTGCATCTCATTAAGCAATTTTTTTTAAGAATCAACAAATTGATTTTAATGGTATACTCAAACTGTTTAAATAATAATAATAAGCATAATAATAATAATATTAATAATAATAATAATAATAGTTCTATTCTATTATAATTATCTCAATTTTTTTTCTAATTAATTAGTTGGTAATGATCTTCATTGTAAAAAAAAAAAAATTATATTATATATTTTTATACAATCAATATAATAATTCATATGTAATTAAATCATTTATATTTATATTGTTCATTCACTAACGATCACATTTAAAAAATGTGTCATGAGATGAGACTCATACAATGAAATACAATATGAACTGAAACATATTGTGAAACAATAGATCTTGTATGGGCCACTAGCTACATAATAATATAAAATCCTAGGATAAATAATAATAATAATAATAATAATAATAATAATAATAATAATAATAATAATAATAATAATAATAATAATAATAATAATAATAATAATAATAATAAAATGAAAAGTCCAAATCCAAGTATTTATGATGAAGTGGAACAATTCTTGATGGCTCCCATAATAATTATATTCTAGACCACTCTATCAAGTGATGATGATGCTCTTTGCAACCACTCAATTTGGAATGAGATTCTCATTATTTTGTGCTCCAACAAAAGTTACATGGTCACCAAAGGCTTCAAGTAGGCACTAAAAGGACATCTACACAAGTATTAAAGTAGATTTTTTGAAGTCACACCTACAAATAAACAAATCTTATTCATATACTCAACCAGTCCACTTCCAAGTCAATTAGTAATTCCTTGTGATTTGGGGAAATCTAGCATAGCTACACATTTTTCTTTCTTTTTTTCTCCCCTCCTTTTTCCTATTGTTTAGTTATTTTGTTTTCCTTTTTCTTCTTGCTTTAAAACAAACTAATCTAGAAAATAGGCTTGCTAATCATGCTATTATCATTTACTTTTCTATCTTTTTTGCATGGATTTTATCTCTCACATGTTGATCCCTCTATATACAGCCAGAAAAAGAGCAAATAAAATATAGCCGGTGTACATTTGAGGATCTTCTCATCGGGTTTTGAGTTGCTTACATTTTTGGATTTTGGCCGAAAAGGTGTATCGAAGTCCGAGGCTAATGTAATATGAGCTGGGATGACCTCACTCGAGTTGTTTGTATGACATCATCAAACTCCAACAGGCTGGAAAAATTCAAGATCAGTACAGTGTTAGAAACATAACAGTTTTGGACACGAACAAGTCGGACCCGGAATTGACGACATATCAGGCACATATGAAGCAAAGGGCCTGAAAATTGTTACCCGATAAATTCCAGCTCGACTCGAACTCGGTATTTGCTAGAATTTGATTTGTTCACAGTAAATGATGCATAACTTAATGAGTGAAATTTAGCAGAAGGAAAAAATACCGATGTTCGAAGGGTCACAACATTGCTTTATATAGCCTATTTGTGCTTTACAAAATGCAGTAAAATAATAAGCTTACTAAAATGAAAAGTTATCAAATCAACCATGGTTTTTTTTTTTTTTTTGGGTCATCATGGAACCGAATGGTTCTTGAATTATCAACTCAAGTACTTAGAATCAGGGTATCCTCTGATCTTTCGACGTACTTAGCTGACAAAGCTGAGGATCTCAAGTAATCAAGCTGGGAAGCAGGAAATAATGTATAACTAGTGTCGTCAAGAAGAGAAAAACACAAGCCAGAAATAAAGTATGTTAAACATACCTGAAGTTGACATGTTCTCGCCCCACAAGCTTATCCTATTGTCGCCTGTATAAATAAATAAGTAAATAAATAATCAGCATGTTCTACCTGCAAATGTCCAAGTTAGAAACCCTCGATAAAGAAAAACAAGCTCTTGCATGCACAGTGTTTTTTCAGGTATTGACAGATTCAAAAATTTCTTCAAAAAGGCCATAAAACAAAGGGAAATACAAATATAAACACCACTAACAAGAATATCAATGAGTATACTGAATACTCACTCTTATGCTAATTTGCGTACGTATATAGCCACCATATGCAGAGAGAGAGAGAGACAGAGAGATAACAATCTTCCAGATATTTCACTTCGGTAATAATACTACTTTCTACAGGGAGTTTTACAACACCTAATCCATAAAAAGCTGCCATGCAGTCCTAATTTACACGACTCTAATAATTCATAATACAGAGTAATGAAACTAATGGACGGCCTATGGATCCGCACGTCCTA